AGCCGCTCTCTTCCTCCTGCGCAACTCAGGTGCCAGGTCATTCATCATGTTGATTTCTCGACCTAGGTATATATAACTGTTGCATTCGGAGATGGTGGTTCCGTTGAGAGTGAATGGAGTGTCAGGAACAAGGCTGCTTCTCATAAACATTGTCTTCGTAAGATTCAGCTATAGTCCGACCTTTCCACATTCACGGTCAAAGTCATTCAGCATTTGTGCCGCTTGGCTGATGTTTGGTGTTATTAGAACGATGTCATCAGCAAAGCGGAGGTGGTGTAGTTGCCAACCATCTATCTTCACTCCCATGGTTTCCCATTCTAGTTGTCGCATGATGTTCTCGAGGGTGGCACTGAAGAGTTTTGGTGAAATGGTATCACCCTGCCAAACCCCTCTCTTGATATGGATGATTACTTCTTTGTAGAATGGTGAGATCTTGGTAGTGAATCCGCAATAGAGCTCACGAAGGATCCTGATGTATTGAGTTTGTATGCCTTGATTGGCTAGGGCTTCCATGACCACTTCCGTCTCAACAGAATCAAAGGCCTTCTTTAAATCAATGAACGTTAAACAGAGCGGCATCTTGAACTCCCGAGAAACCTCAATGAGCTTAGTAATCGTGTGGATATGGTCGATGGTACTGAATCCTTTTCGGAATCCGGCTTGTTCACATGGTTGTCCTTCATCTAGTGTTCTGCTAATCCTATTCAGGATGATTCGAGTGAACAGTTTGTAGACGACAGAAAAATAGGCAGATTGGGCAATAGTTGCCAATGTCGTGGATGTCTCCCTTCTTGTATAGTAGTACAGTCCTGCTGGTTTTCCATTGGGATGGAACCTTGCATTCAGACAGGTAGCGTGTGAAGAGCCGAGTCAATGTATTGATGAGTACTGATGGCAAGTTCTTCAGGTGTTCAGGTCTGATCTTGTCTGGGTCAGGTGCTCTTTGTTTCTTTACCGACGAGATGGCATGTTGGATTTTGAAAGGGAGAACATTGGGAACGACATATCCATCATGTGATATGTGGTATGTGGGCAAGTGGACGTGGCTATTAACGAGATCTGAGTAGAAGTCATGAATAATCTTCTCCATTGCCCTTCTGGAAGATGTGATAGATCCATCATGATGTCGGAGGGCAGTCATCTTGGTTTTGTAGTTGGTGAAGGACAGGCAGGCATTACAAATGCTTTTCCCAGCTTCTGCCGCATCTACCAGTACTGCTGTTCTCCTGTTTTTGAGGTTATCCTTGATGGCTTCTCTGCACTGTTTTGCCAGTTCGGATGTTCGCTTGTGGTTGCCTGAGGCATGTGCCAAGCCACGTTGGCGAATAAGTTCAAGAGTGTTCGAAGAAAGGCGGTTTTTTGTGGTTATCTCTCTCTTGGCATTCCTCGCACAATCATGGAGGTGCTGAATCATTCGATTGTATTCCTCATCAATGATGTCAATGACGGCATCTTCCCATGTTGCCGCAACAGAGCCAAAGACCTCCCAGTTGGTGGTCGTTCTGGGAGTCCTCTTCTTAAACCTTGCATTCTTTTCTCCTCATTCTGTGAGGTAGAATTTTGCACGAAGAAGACGGTGGTCTGATCCCGTTTGTAATTTTGGAACAACAGCAACATCAGTCAGGCAAAACCGCCGATTCAATATGATGTGGTCTATTTCATTGTAGAACCATCCACCGGGAGACTCCCATGTCCAACATTTAGATTTGGCCTTTTGGAACTGTGAGTTACCATGGATGGTCTTGGTTGACATGATGAACTCAGACAGTCTGTCACCCTGTTTGTCCCATTCTAGGCCATGGGTCCTGATGTGGAGTTCATTGGCTGATCTTCTCGGTCCTATCATGGCATTAAAATTACTGACAATGATTTTGTAAAAGGTGTGCTTTTCTTTATAGAACTTCTCCAGCTCCATGTAGAACTTCTCAATTTCTCCTTCATCGTAATTGGATGTTAGTGCATAGACAACAAAGATAGAAACTGCCGGCAGTGAGCCACATCTATTCAAGTATAATCGTCTGATTCAGGTTGTTAGGCATTCAAATGAATCAATGCTCATGGCTAAGTTCATGTTGACAAGGATACCGACACCACTGACGCCTCTTTTGTCACATGTTCCAAGGGACAGTTCTTCTCCAGTGTCAAAAACGGTGTGATGTGATTGATATCTTCTCATCTCGATTAGACCAATGATGTTGTACATGATCTTTCGCACTTGTACCATCAGGTCCTCGATGGATGCATCAGATATCAGCATACGTGTATTGAAAGTACAGACAATCATTTTTGTCTTTCTTCGTTTTGGCAGCCTAGTTCGGTCTTGAGATTTTATCAGCCTCTCCTTCCACATCCTTCTCGACTCTGCCGTATTCAGGGTTAGGGGAATGAGATCAATTTTTTTGGTGGATTTGGCATATCAAATATACCACAGATAGCTTGCCAGGCTCTGCCGTGTGGGTGGGTTATTCAAGGTAGCCTGAAAACATAAATAAACTTTACAGGTGTTCCTATTCAGGCATATGTGCTGTTATGATACTTGCGGTAGTCTGCTGGGTTCTCTGAGAGTGAGAGTTAGAGAATAAGAAGTCTAATAAGAATAAGAAGAGAATAAAAGGCATGGAGTAGGATACTCTGCTTTGTTCTCTTCCGGGAGCTTGGTGTGATAATCTCAGGATCCTGGCCTTTGTTGGGGTTACATGGCAGTTCAAACATTCTTTTTTTTTTTTTTTGCTTTTTGGGTCACACCCGGTGATGCTCAGGGGTTACTCCTGGCTCATGTACTCAGGAATTGCTCCTGGCAGTGCTCAGGGGACCATATGGGAATTGAACCTGTGTCAGTCATATTGGCTGCGTGCAAGGCAAATGCCCTACCCGCTGTGCTATCGCTCCATCTCCAGCATGCCTCAGGCAACCGCAAGCAAATGTCCAAGCTGGCAAAACAGTGCAGAGGAGCAATCAAGGATGACCTCAAAGACAGAAGAGCAGCAGTGCTGGTAGATGCGGCAGAAGCCGGGAAAAGCATTTGTAATGCCCGCCTGTCCTTCACCAACTACAAGATCAAGATGACTGCCCTCCAATGTCTTGATGGATCTATCACATCTTCCAGAAGGGCAATGGAGAAGATTATTCATGACTTCTACTCAGATCTCTTTAATAGCCACGTCCACTTGCCCACATACCAAATTCCACAGGATGGATATGTCGTCTCCAATGTTCTCCCTTCCAAAATCCAACACGCCATCTCGTCGGTAGTGAAACAAAGAGCACCTGGCCCAGACAAGATCAGACCTCAACACCTGAAGAACTTACCATCAGTACTCATCAATACATTGGCTCGGCTACCTGTCTGAATGCAAGGTTCCATCCCAATGGAAAACCAGCAGGACTGTACTACTATACAAGAAGGGAGACATCCACGACATTGGCAACTATCGCCCAATCTAGGCCTATTGTCTGACATCTACATGCTGTTCACTCGAATCATCCTGAATAGGATTGGCAGCACACTAGATGAAGGATAACCATGCAAGCAAGCCGGGTTCCGCAAAGGATTCAGCACCATTGACCATATCCACACGATAACCAAGCTCATTGAGGTTTCTCAGTTCAAGATGCTACTCTGTCTAACGTTCATTGATTTAAAGAAGGCCTTTGATTCTGTTGAGACAGAAGCGGTCATCGAAGCCCTAGCCTATCAGGGCATTTAAACTCAATATATCAGGATCCTCCATGGGCTGTATTATGGATTCACTACCAGGATCTCACCATTCTACAAAGAAAATCATCCATGGAAAGAGAGGGATTTGGCAGGGTGATACTATTTCACCGAACCTCTTTAATGCCACCCTCGAGAATGTCAGCGATGACTGGAATGGGAAGGAGTGGTAGTGAAAATAGGTGGTCGTCAACTACACCACCTCCACTTTGCTGATGACATTGTTCTAATAACACCAAACATCAGCCAAGCAGCACAAATGCTGACCAACTTTGACTGTGAGAGTGGAAAGGTCGGATTACAACTGAATCTCACAAAGACAATCTTCATGAGAAACAGTCTTATTCCTGATGTTTCATTCACTCTCAATGGAACATCCGTCTCCGAATGCAACAGTTATATATACCTAGGTCGAGAAGTCAACATGACGAATGACCTGGCACCTGAGTTATGCAGGAGGAAGAGAGCAGCTTGGAATGCCTTCAAGAGCATTGAAGAAATAACTAAGAGGACAAAGAACCTCCAGCTCCGAGCACATCTCTTCAATTCCACTGTTCTTCCTGCATTAACATATACCTCAGAGACCTGGGCCCTACAAAAACAGGATGAAAATGCTATTCGGGTCTCTCAAAAAGGAATTGAAAGAGTTATGCTTGGAGTATCACACTTCACTCAAATGAGAGACAGAATCCGGAGTCCCTATCTCCATCAACGCTCAAGAATTAGAGATGCAGTCTCATTTGCGAAGGCATCAAAAATCAGATGGGCTGGACATGTAATGAGATTTAGAGATGACCATTGGACTAGAACCATTACTGACTGGATTCCACAGGACGTCAAAAGATCGCGTGGACGCCCAGCTACGAGATGGTCAGACTTCTTCGTCAAGACCCTGAATGATCGGTTTGAGGCTCTTCATGTTCCTAGAATGAGCAGATGCCATTGGGCTATGCTAGCACACAACAGGGATGAATGGAGACATTATTGGCACCCGCTCAAGCAAATGGATGAGTAACGGGGTATCAAATGGTAGACATGGTAGACACAGTCCTCCCATTGTTCATTGATTTGCTCGAGTGGCCCCAGTAACATCTCCATTATGAGACTTGTTGTTACTGTGTTTGGCATATCGAATACATCATGGGAAGCTTGCCAGGCTCTGCCGTGCGGGCGAGATACTCTCAGTAGCTTGTTGGGCTCTCCGAGAGGGGCGGAGGAATCGAACTCGGGTCGACCATGTTGGCCGCTTGTAAGGCGAACGCCTTACCGCTGTGCTGTCTTTCCAGCTCGCTTCGGCAGCACAGATACTAAAATTGGAACAATACAGAGAAGATTAGCATGGCCCTGCGCAAGGATGACACGCAAATCAAGTGATCAGGTGATATATATACATAAATATATACATATATATTAATTGGTAACTATGCTGAATAAAGTCACTATAAGCACTAAATTAGTATATACCGAATGATTACTCCTAGGGGAAATACTGAGCTAAGGGTCCTGTGGTCACATTTTTGTCAACAGATTAATAAATAACCTTATTTTATTTGTGTGTCTCTATTTGGAGACATCTTATTTAATCTACATTGTTTTTCATTTACACTAAATTTATGCCTAACAGGACTATAGTTCAGGTTGAAATAAAGTTTATCTAACATATTTTTTCCATAAGGTATATCACAACCTCCTCACACATGGAAAACCAGATAGCATATTTGTATATGGTAGGAGTCATTTTTGAACAGCAAAATCACCAAGAAAGAGCACTCAAAAAAGCCCAAATTCTAGAGCCCTGCAAGCTACCAAGAGTATATTGCCCACATGGCAAAGCCTGGAAAGCTACCCATGACGTATTTGATATGACAAACACAGTAACAACAAGTCTCACAATGGAGACATTATTGTGCCCGCTCAAGCAAATTGATTAACAATGGGAGGACATTGACAGTAACTAAAAGGACACTATTTAGATCAGGAAAACAGAACAAGCATATCAGGCAACAAAGTTCTTTCTTTCTTTCTTTCTTTCTTTCTTTCTCTCTCTCTTTCTTTGTGGACTTTGTACATGCCCACAGTGAGCACAAATGCAAAAGCATGATAAGTATATGTCTTTGGGGATAAAATATGAATGTTGAAGAAAATTTACATTTTTTTTTCTTTTTGGGTCACACCTGGCAATGCACAGGGGTTACTCCTGACTCTGCACTCAGGAATTACCCCTGGCGTTGCTCAGGGTACCATATGGGATGCTAGTAATCGAGCCGGGGTCAGCTGCATGCAAGGCAAACACCCTACCCTCTGTGCTATCACTCCAGCCCCGAAAATTTACAATTTTTGAAGAATTTACATAGAATAAATATTACCTTGGTGTGCCTATCTGCAAATTCTAATTTTTTTTCAATTGTAAAATAAAGATTTTTCTTTAATTGACCTCAAAATGTACATTTATAGAGCAAGGGCCGTAGCTGGGAAGCACATGTCTTGCAGATGGAGATCCTAGACTTGATTCTCAGAACTCAGTGACTCTAGCCAGCTGAACCTACCATTAGCAAACCATAACAATGTTTACATTTAATTGAAATATCTGAATAAATAAAATACTTTTCAAAAACAAGTGATAAGTTGCACATATTAACTAGACTCTACCCAATGGATAAGGTACTTGTAAGAAATCAGAAAAAGGATCTTGGAAAGACTCAAAGCAGACTTTCTTTCTAGGTGGGAATTTTTCTGAGTTCTGGAGTTTTACATATTGTCTGAGAGCAAGATAACAAATAAGGTGCACTTGGTAAAGAATCAGAGTAAATGAAAATACGGAAGCAAGATTGCTCTCTGACTCTCCCAGGAGTGTCTCAGACACAGAAGAAAATGGAAGCAGGAATGGGGTAGACGGGAGGACTAAGCAAACAGCATCACACAGAGTAGCAGGCCCCGGGGGTTCACTCTGTCCCCAGAAATACACATCAGTTTGACCTTCATATCCTAATTTCAGGCTCAGGTTCCTGCAAAATAATAATGGCTGAGTCTTTTATGTATGTGTGTCTGCCGCTAAATTAAGCATGGGGCACTCTGCACAGAGGGACACTTGACAAATGTGTTTCTTGGTTATTCCTTCGCTCCAGCCTTGTATTAGAGAAGTGAATGATTATAGTTTTTTCCCCCTTTCCCGGCAGTCTCACAGTGTGGTTGCTCAGAGTTCCTTCTCATTGCCATTCTGTCTCCCCAGGATAAAGGGGAGGAAATGACTTGAGCTATAACAAATATTAGCCCAGGTATATTACTAAGCGATCTCAAGGGAATGGAGACTAAATAAATCCACGGTGTGGCTTAGAGAGTTGGAATGTATTCAGTGGAAATGTCTATATGGATGTTATTTCTGGACACTTTCTGAGAATGTCCCAATGTTTAAGTTCTTCGCTGTGGTTAAGAATGAGAAATCCAACATTTAAGCAATTAATATCACCCTAGAATATTACCCTCACATCTGCAGACTGTTTAAATATTCTCCATGTAATTCACTATTTTATGGCATATAAATGTTTCATAGTTGTCGCTGCTGCTACCTACTTTTTTATATTCAAAAAGAAGGTAAGCAGATGGATGTTGGAGGAGTAACACGACAGGCTCAGTTAGCCTTCCTGGGCAGAGGTTAGCAACATTTTCTTTTAGTAAAAAAATCCACTGAATAAATAGTTTAGATTTTGTCTGAGCACAGCCTTCTTTTACAGCTGTTTAATTCTGCTACGAGAAAGCAGTTATAAATAATGTAAGTGAATGCATATGGCTGTGTTCCAATAAAACTTTAGTTATGGGCATAATATTTGAATTTTACATACTTTTTGCATGCTATGAAGTGCATTCTTCTCTGGATGACTTTCCCCTGTTTAAAAATGTAATAGTCATTGTTACTTTATGGGAAGAACAAAACCAATTCTATCAGGGCCTGGAGTTTACCTATTAGTAGATCAAAGTCCAGAAAGGAGAACCCTGGGGCACATTAGGGGTCTGGTGATGAACCCACATGAAAAAAAGCTTTTAGTTACAGCAGGTGTTAGGTCCTGTCCCCAAAATCATATTCTCCAGAGGCTGGAGTCATATTAGCTGTTTTAGCAGCTAAAAAAGCTATTCCAATGTAGTACCAAAAAAACTGCTCCATCAAGCAAAGAGCTTGTGCTGTCCTTGAAAACAATTCCACTTACACTTCCAGTCAAAATTCAGTCTTGCCGTCCTGCTTGGCCTCCTAATTTAAATCAATTATTTTTACCGGCTTTTGACAGGCTTGGTTTCATTCAAACCAAGTTGCTTGGCAGGGGTACAGGGTGTTTGTTCTTGGTTTCTTATCATCCAGCTATCACTAATGGTCTAAAGAGTGGACAAAGATTGACATGTTTAGGATGCAAAAAAAGAAAGAGAGAGAGAGAGAGAGAGAGAGAGAGAGAGAGAGAGAGAGAGAGAGAGAGAGAGAGAAAGAGCCAAGAATAAAACAAAGAATGACTTTTTCATACTAAGATGATACATGTACTAAACAATGCAGATTGTTTTTGCAAAGATAAACATGTGAGCTCCTTTATATCACTCCCAGTGCTATAGCAAGTCTTTTTATTCAAGATACGTGATGGAGCTGAGTTTGCTTTATATGGACACTGATCCAAATGAATTAGGAACTGCATTCAAGATCAGAGGTCAGAAAACCCATCTGGTTAGGGATGATTAAAAATGTTGAGAAAGATCCCTGATCTTTAGTTAAAGGATACAAGAAAGGAAATCTTAATTAGAAATCCTTATGTAGGGCCAGAGAGATAGCACAGCAGGTAGGGCTCTTGCCTACTTGGGCATCCCATGTGATCCCTGGAGCACTGCCAGAAGTGATTCCCAAGTGCAGAGTCAGGAGTGGCCTCTTGAGCAATATCAGGTGTACCCCACCCCCCAAAAACAAAAACAAAAACAAAAGATAAAAACAAAAAGAAATCTTTCTCTGTATTCATATCACAATGGCTGCTAAGAGGCTCAGCCTCTGAGTGGGTTTATTGATCCCTTGGGACCCAGCAGCCTAGTAACCCACTCTTTCTAGAAATGTGTATCCCTGTTTAGTTTCTCTTTAAAACAAGCAAACAAACACACAAACAAACAAACAAAGACCTTCTTCAAATTCCAAAGGAAAAGCTTTTCTTTTTCCCACAACATACTCCACCATTTTCTCAGGTGTCTAGTCCCTGAATAAACCTGTTTTTCAGGAATATTTTTAGAAATATTGGCTTTCAAGCACCCGTACTTGCATTCAGTCACAGTTTTAACCAGGATGACTGGGAGGAACCAAGAGCCCCAGATGACGGAGTCTTCCCAGGTCACCTTGCTGAGCGTGGGGACAGCCATCAGGTGTGCCAGTCAATCAAGCTGACCTCATAGGGAAAGTTTAGGAGACTCCCAGCATCTGACAAGACCTATTTGTCTTGGGGACTCTCCATTACCTTGCCCTCATGGCACTAGTTGCCTTAAGTGCTGTGTTGACAGAGAAAAATGGTTTAATTTAGAGTCCACAGACTCAAAGACTAGATAAGTCCTCTGTGTGCAGTCAAGAGTCTGCACCATTTCTGGTTCTTTTCTATCTTGGATCCTCAGGTTATCTGAGGCATGAGACAACTCCAAATTGGCAAAAAGTCCCAAATGACAAATTTGAGGCTTTTGGGCAATTTGAAGTTCTTTTACCACTTTGAATCCTAGGTCATTTGAGGTTACTACAGGCAAATTAACAAGACTCTGTGACCAATACCTATAACCTCTAGGAAAGATTTTTGCTTCTAGAGCAGCTTGAGCTTGAATTTGATCTATTCTGTCTCCACTGTATATGGAGGATTGGTTATGTCCTATTTGCATTCTGTTTGGGGTTTTGGGCTTGTTTTTTTTTTTTTGTTTTTGCTTCATTTTTCGATATGCCAGACACAGTAACAACAAAGTCTCCAATGGAGACGTTACTGGGCCCGCTCGAGCAAATCGACGACCAACGGGAGGGCCTTTACCTTTCAATAGGGAATTTAATCTGAATATCATCTGAAATTCCCCTAGATCACCTCTTAGAAGGCCTGGAGCACCCACTATGGTCTATGAGTAAAATCATAATAATTTCAATTTTAACATTGCTGAGCCTATATGCATAGAGATAAAATTTAGAGAGAGATGACCTTTTATTGGAACACTAAATTGCTATACTATTTAACAATTAAAATTATTTTGTCAAATATCTGGTAAGCAGGATGAGATAGCCTATGCCTAGGCTTTACTGTTTTATTGCATAACAAGGTCTCTTTTCATTGGTGTTCTTTCCCATAAACAGTGCAGAGAAAAGGAAAAAAAAACTCATTAGTCTCCCTAATAATAAAAAAATCTGT